AACCGCTTCAAAACTTGTTTATGGATATTCAAAAACCCGTACGGTTTTCGCAATATTTCAAGGTTTTCTCTGTTCAGTAATCACTCTTACTCAAAAATAATATCATATTCGGAATCAGCATGAAAAAATGCATCTTATGAACTATGTACTGTATCATATATTTCAAAAAAATATCTCACTTTACAATGACATTCATGTCCGCAATGACGTTAAACTACGGGTCAGCGATGACCTTAAACTAGGTTAATGATGTGTCGGTTATGGTTTAAGTTGTGGTAATGGACAGAACTAACATCTTTCTATGAGGATCGGCTTATGGCCAGGACATTTTCCACGGATCTGTTCAATAGTAGTGGGTGAATGAAGGTACAGCTGCGGGAGCTAGTTCAGAGGGTTTCTTCGGATCCACCCCCTCTGGCTCTGTACACAGTGCAGAGCAGTCGCTAGTCTCTCCTGCCGAGGCCGAGTTCATCTGCTACTATTTTTGGAATGTACTCGGACCCCCGTTCAGCGCGAGACGGCTCGTTGGGAAGCGCAGGGAGGCAAGGATGGTCTGAAAGTTGCCCACTCATCGAGTGGTCCGAAGACGTCACCGGATAGGGTCGAGTCTCCTAGGATGCACGGGTCGGCGAGGTTAGCCAGGCTTTGCAACCTCGCGTCGGTTCCCCCTGGTCTCGTCGATCTGTGTGTCTGCAGAGCACTTTAAAAACGTACGTGTGGGGCGGGCGTGCTGATACCGAGGCCCGAATTTGGGGGTACTGTGGATGCCGTTCGCCACCCGATTGTTAACTGTACGGTGGTGGCATACCACAGCCTCGGTTTGTGCTCTGACGTCCTGTATATTGCAAATGGCTACCTCATCAATACAAACATCTTCTCCTTCTTCTCACGATGAAATGAACTTTGATCAACTATTCACCATCTATCATATCGACTGTCGGGCCAGTGTGGAGCAGGCACAAGAAAGAATTCTCGAATTTTTCGGTGTACCATCGACCGAAAACAATACATATTTTATTCAGTCTAAAATCAAAAATTTCATCGCCAAAAAAAAAGATAAGTTCGACGAATGGCGAAAACATCGCAGTGCCGCTCATCACAAGGAAAAGTTTTTGGCTCCGGCAATTCTGAAAGGGGAATTTCCCGATAAGCCGAAACCACCGAAACGTCCTACTCAAAACTTTACCGAAGTGGGACCACGTCAAAAACGTCAAAAACTCAATGACTTGAATTCAGAACTCGATGATTTTGCTACTGATAATGGGGTTACAGTTAATCAAGTCATCGGTTATTTGCTGCATCAAAGAAATTACAATATAAATAAACATCTCGCACAAATCGGCGATGAACTTTATAAAAAGGGAGACGTGGAGGAATTAACAAAGTTCAATATGAACGTTGATGGAGCCCTGGCGCTGAAGACACACATAAATCTCAGTCGAAGTAATCTGGACTTTATTAAAACGTTTCAAAAAGACTTTGTACAAATTCCAAACAGAAACATCATTCGAGAACATTCACAAAAACTCGTTCCAGAAATTACTGAATGTCGAGAAAAGCGGGGAATTATGGTGGGAAATTCGAAAGAAACAATCGAGCTGACCATTTCTCGAATACTTGAACGGCTAACCCAAATGAACATTGTTTTACCATCGAAACTAACTTATAAATATAAAACCGGGCATGATGGGGCTGGAAGTCAGTCCGTTTATCGCTCATTGGACAACCCTATGAATGATCCGAATATATTCGCCAAAATGTTTGTACCTCTTTCACTGACAAATACACAAACCGACGAAGTTGTGTGGAAGAACGACACTCCCAATAGTGCATTCTATACAAGTCTCTATGGGTAAAACGTGGAAAAATGATAAAAAGACGCGAAGATGTCATTCCCTAGGTAATCGACCATGGCGAATCCGATGGGCGTATGTACCACGTCTCCAGAGGATCTCTAGAGCGTCTTCAGGAGAACATCAGAAAACCTCTGCATTAAAAAGCAGCGTAAAAGCAAATGTCGACCAATAGGATTGCTCCCAGAGGCCGCTCATAGCCATTTTCTGACTCGCCATGGTCGGTTACCTATAGTGTATCATTTTCAGGACGGAGACCCTTAGCCTCTACTACTTACCGCATTTCTGCACTATGCGGACGCCGACGCCGACATTTATTTCATATGACCCTAGACTTTCAGTCAAGGGAATATACTGATCAGTGAGTGTGACGGACATACATACATACACATAGTCATGTGGCAGTGTGACGGACGTACATACACATAGTCATGTGGCAGTGTGACGGACGTACATACACATAGTCATGTGGCAGTGTGACGGACGTACATACATACAGGCATCAGAGAAATGTAACACCTATCGTGGCTGCGAGTGCGGTCTGTATGGGTAAAACGTGGAAAAAATGATAAAAAGACGCGAAGATGTCATTCCCTAGGTAATCGACCATAGGAATCCGATGGGCGTATGTACGACGTCTCCAGAGGATCTCTAGGGGGTCTTCGGGAGAACATCAGAAAACCTCTGCATTAAAAAGCAGCGTAAAAGCAAATGTCGACCAATAGGATCGCTCCCAGAGGCCGCTCATAGCCATTTTCTGACTCGCCATGGTCGGTTACCTATACTGTATCAGTTTCATGACGGAGACCCTTAGCCTCTACTACTTATCGCATTTCTGCACTATGCGGACGCCGACGCGGATGCCGACGCCGACGCCGACATTTATTTCAGTGAGTGTGACGGACATACATACACATAGTCATGTGGCAGTGTGACGGACGTACATACACATAGTCATCTGGCAGTGTGACGGACGTACATACACATAGTCATCTGGCAGTGTGACGGACGTACATACGTATAGGCATCAGAGAAATGTAACACCTATCGTGGCTGCGAGTGCGGTCTCTATGGGTAAAACGTGGAAAAAATGATAAAAAGACGCGAAGATGTCATTCCCTAGGTAATCGACCATGCCGAATCCGATGGGCGTATGTACGACGTCTCCAGAGGATCTCTAGGGGGTCTTCAGGAGAACATCAGAAAACCTCTGCATTAAAAAGCAGCGTAAAAGCAAATGTCGACCAATAGGATTGCTCCCAGAGGCCGCTCATAGCCATTTTCTGACTCGCCATGGTCGGTTACCTATACTGTATCAGTTTCATGACGGAGACCCTTAGCCTCTACTACTTATCGCTTTTCTGCGCTATGCGGACGGCGACGCCGATGCCGACGCCGACATTTATTTCATATGACCCTAGACTTTCACTCAAGGGAATATACTGATCAGTGAGTGTGACGGACATACATACACATAGTCATGTGGCAGTGTGACGGACGTACATACATATAGGCATCAGAGAAATGTAACACCTATCGTGGCTGCGAGTGCGGTCTCTATGGATAAAACGTGGAAAAAATGATGAAAAGACGCGAAGATGTCATTCCCTAGGTAATCGACCATGGCGCAGCCGATGGGCGTATGTACGACGTCGCCAGAGGATCTCTAGGGGGTCTTCAGGAGAACATCAGAAAACCTCTGCAATAAAAAGCAGCGTAAAAGCAAATGTCGACCAGTAGGATTGCTCCCAGAGGCCGCTCATAGCCATTTTCTGACTCGCCAAGGTCGGCTACCTATACTGTATCAGTTTCATGACGGAGACCCTTAGCCTCTACTACTTATCGCATTTCTGCACTATGCGGAGGCCGACGCCGATGCCGCGCCGATGCCGCCGCCGACGCCGACATTTATTTCATATGACCCTGGACTTTCAGTCGAGGGAACAATGTGTCCGTATGAAATCTGTTTCTATTGTTAAAGAAAGATATTTACGTTTTTCACATCATACTCGCTCTCTTCAAAAAAAAGGAAATTCATCTTTTCTAAAATCAAAATTAAAACAGCACCCTGCGCGAATATTTATGATTTATAAAAAGTATCGTAATTAGTTCTATTCGTGCTGATAAAAAACGATTATTTAAATGTGTCATGAAAGATTTTTCGAATAGTAAGCGATTTTGGTCAGCGATAAAAAAGTATCGTAACCCTATTGAGGACTTGCCGGCTTGTATGCAGTACAATTCTTCCATATCCAGTGATGATTCTTCTAAAGCCGAGTTACTATCCTCTTTCTTTCAAACCAGTTTTTCACAACTTTCTACCTTATCAAAATCATTTATCAGCTCTCGTTTATCATCCTCTCAAAGTTTCTCAGAACTTCATATTGATGTATCCGATGTTTTTTCAAGCTATAAATAGTTTAAAAAACAAAACTTCTGTACGTACTGATCAAATTCCAGTCAAAATTATAAAACTTTGTACCGATGTCATCTCACTGCAATTACATCATATTTTCTCTGTTTCTCTCAACTGGAGTTTTTCCTTCTGTGTGGAAAGAAGCTATTATAAGAGCAGTACAT